GAACTAACACTATACCTAGAACTAGAATCATTTGGGTTTAGCCGTCTTTAGAGACGTATGGCTAAACCCAAATGATTCTAGTTCTAGGTATAGTGTTACTTTTAGTGATAGTACTAGTGTAAAACTAGAACTAACACTATACTTAGAACTAGAATCATTCAGGTTTAGTCGTCTTTGTAAACGTGTGGCTAAACCCAAATGATTCTAGTTCTAGGTCTAGTGTTAATTCTAGTTTTAATTGTTATTAAGCGCTAGATTGTTGTATATTTTTATTGAAGTAGTTGAAAAGTTAAATGTACCTATTAGAAAAGTACATATATTAAATTATATAGTAGAACTAGAATTATTTGGGTTTAGTTGTCTTAAGAGACATGAACCAGAAATGACACTAGCAGTATCCCGCCAAATCTTTACCACCAATAGCAACATATCTTGGTAACTCGCTATAATATGGCGTTAGATTTGGCGAGATACTGCTACTGTTACTTCTGGTTATTTGCCCTAAACTTTTGGAGGGCTTAAGTTACAATAAGTCTTATCTTCTCTCCTCAGCCCGGCAACAATAATAATAATATTACGTTCAATTGTATTCTCTCCTCTTCTAGGAAACTATAATAATTAAAAATAACACAATTATTTATTGGCTATTGTTCATTGTAATTCTTGAACAAAAACCTTAATTAATTTAATCTGGGTTAATAGAAATTCCTTTTACAAATTAATTTGAAAATCGCTTCAATAAAAATATTCGTACAATACTTAAAGTAAGCTTGTAACTTTCTCCAAGTAACTTCTTAGTAAAGATTCAATCGAGAAATCTTAAAGTGTAGAGTACAATTCTTGGGTTGGGTTGCAGCTTTAACTTGAAAGGTTAATAGATGAGTACACACATTCCACGCCAATTCAAACTTGTTTAAGTTGCACAATACTTGCTTTCTTTCACTTCCGACTAGAACCGTTACACTACATTTGAAATAATTACAATTTGGAAACGAGGTGTTACCATTAAATTTCGTAACATGTATTACAATTGCTTTTTTCCGACGTTAACAACAAAGAAAATAAGGAAAAGTAATAGAGTCGAGTTAATTATCTAACAAATTATATTATATTCAAATATTAACTAAATCGAATGAAGTAAAAAAAATCAAACTAAAAATAGAAATCTGTATTACCAACTTTAATTAACCTTTACGTCAAATGTCAATCTGACGTTTTAGAAGATAAAGTTCTGTATCAATCAGATGTGTTTTATGTGAAAAATAAAACTTCTATTTTACAATTATTTTGCAAAATGACTTCGGAACCTGCCGATATTCAACTAAAAACAAAACGACCTTCAGGTAAGATTTTATATGTAGATTAGATTAACCTAAAAAACCCATCCTATTTACCTCGCCTAGATATTGATCTTACTGGATATTTCATTTATGATTAATGAAATTTATTGATTTAACTTTAAATTAATTATAGATAGTGCTTTTAAACAACAGAGACTACCAGCTTGGCAGCCGATTTTAACTGCTGGTACCGTTTTGCCAACGTTTTTTGTAATTGGGATTGCGTTTATTCCGGTTGGAATTGCTTTATTATATTTTTCTGATGATGTGAAAGAAAAAATTATTGATTACACGCTTTGTAATAAAACTACACTTTATTCGGATGGAACTTTTGATGAAACCAATGAAAAATGTTCTGATATAATTAGTAAAAATCGTTCGATGGATTGTACCTGTGTTATTCGTTTTAATTTAGACGTCGATTTTCTGGTGAGATACATTTAATTTTCTAAATAACTATTTAAATATTTAAAAAAATTAGGGTAAAGTGTACATGTATTATGGTTTAACGAATTATTATCAAAACCATCGAAGATATGTAAAATCTAGGGATGATAATCAACTTTTGGGGAACTTGGATTCATTATCAACTGATTGTATTCCATTTTCTGAAGATAACAGTACTGGTTATAATAGACCTATTGCACCTTGTGGGGCTATTGCAAATTCATTGTTTAGTGGTGAGTTTTGTAAATTATAATTTTGGTTTAAATGAATAATAACCTTTTTATAGATGAAATGAAGTTATTCCATGTCGTATCAAATCGACTCAAAGAAATTCCACTATTAAGAACAGGAATTGCTTGGGAATCAGATAGAAACATAAAATTTCGAAATCCACCAGGTGATTTAGCTCAAGCTTTCAAAAATTTTAGCAAGCCAAAGGCTTGGAGAAAACCGGTTTATGAGTTAGATCTAAAAGATGATAATAATAACGGATTTCAAAACGAGGATCTTATTGTTTGGATGAGAACAGCCGCTTTACCTACATTTAGAAAATTATATCGAAGGATTAATCATACTGAGAAAGGGTATGTTAATGGTTTACCAGCTGGAGAATATCATTTACAAATTGAATATAGTAAGATGTACATTTTTTTAATTGATAATTAAAACTTAATTTGTACTTTTTATTTGTAGGCTATGATGTTAGTTCTTTTGATGGAACAAAACGTATGATTTTAAGTACAACTTCTTTATTGGGTGGCAAAAATCCATTCCTTGGAATTGCTTATATTGTTGTTGGATGTATTTGTTTATTATTGGGTATTGCGTTATTATTTATACATATTAAATGTGGAAAAACGTATGTTGAAAGTTATTAGAGCAAGATAAATTCATAATTTTCTTTTATATTTTTAGCACAACTGAAATGATAAGTGTTAATCCTAGGACAGCATATTAAAATGAATTTTAAAACATACATTTATAAGATTTTAAAGATGTCACAAAAGTGCCCTTAGTTTAATGGATAAAAATGTGAAATAATTAATTTATTTGTAGATAAAAAAGTACTTATTTAAGATTTTTTTATAATTTTTTCTTAAGCTTTCTATTATGCTTAAAAACGCCTATTCATTCCTAATTCTATAGCCTCTAAGTAATGCCAAAAACTTATCTTATTAAGTAATTAATGTCAGAAAAAATAAACTTTTCAGTACCCTATAGTACCTAATACTATGTATAACTTAGCCCTTTTTAGGATAGTTAAATCAATGTGATCCACTTTATTTAATATATAAATAAAATATTACACAATATATGAATCATTTTTATTTCAATTAATTAAATATAAATCAAAAAAGAGACGACAATAAAGTTTTAAACAATATAGCAAGATATTTAAAAGAGCTGTAAAAAGCAAAACAATTAATTGATTAATAAAAAGTGAAAAGATTCCCAAAAAAAAAAATACAATATCTTATAATAATAGGATTATCCTTTTATAACAGCAATTGGTCTCAATTTAATACATTTCTTGCTTATTCCAGCTGCATGACAAGTATCAACTACATCAGTAACGTTTTTGTAAGACTCAGGGGCCTCTTCCATGACTAATTTTGGTGATGCTACACGAATGGATATACCTTGACCTTCTAGTTTTTGTAACACATCTGTGTAATCGAGATTCCTGCGAGATTTTGCTCGAGATAAAGCACGACCCTACATAAAATAGTACATTATTAATATTATAGGAGCATACAAGGTGTTTCAGCAAGACTGGTTTCTGGGGTTCTGAGCAAAATAAAAATTTGAGAATTTAGATTTAAGTATTATCAATTCAACTAAAATATTTTCAAATTTCTAACACTTCCCGTTATACCGGAAGTCGCCACCTCCTTTATTTTTTTAAATGGAACACACTGTATATTTTTACTAGTTTGGATTTGGCTTATGAATAACTTTACTTTTTGCAATTTGATTCAGCCGTTCTCGATCTAGAAGGAGAAACATTCAGGTTTAGCCATATTAACCTTCTTTCTAGGTCTAGTGTTAGTTCTAGTGCAAAATTAGAACGAACCTTAGAACTAGAAACATTCGGATTTAGCCGCACATCTCTCAAGACGGCTAAACCCGAATTTTTCTAGTTTTAGATCTGGTGTTAGTTCTAGTTATAATACACTAAAAATATGCATCATAGTGATATCTGATAAAGTCCCTAGATTTACAAAGTACCGCGGTTCATGAAGCCTGTTTTCGAGCCAAAATGGCGGTTTGACAGCTTGTCACTGCATCTCACCACTTATTTAGAAAAATATTGCCGTCTTGTTGCCGTTGGAGTTGCAAAAATGGCAGTAAGAAGGATTTTCGACTCTTCAGAGTACCACGATTCGTAAAAATGCAACTCTTTAAACAAAAACTTCGTACTAAAAATTGAACGCGTGTGGCGCCATCTGTTGGGGATATTTTGGAATTATTCAGCTAAGAACCGAACCACTAGAATACAGGTGGATTGGGTTTATATATAAAAGCTCCAACCACAGAATAACTGTTTGGAAAGTGATAAAATTAACGTTCCGACTGGTTGGGAATTCCTCAGATGCAATTACCATGGCAATTACACCTGTCAAATAATGCCGCCACATTTGAATATCACGGCGTCATATGACATGTGAGATTGCATCTGGCGAGCTTCCAACCAGCTATAACGTTAGCTGAAACAAAGCTATAATGTCAATTATAATCTAATTATTTAATCATACCATTATTACTTTATTATACTCTTACCAAAAAATCACTTTAAAATGACGTTTTCATCTGTCATCTGTGTTTCAACTTTTTAAAAGCTGAAGTTAGCGACAAATTTAAAAATATAACACGAATTGGAATCTATACTTTTTAAATTAAAAGAATGATACTGGTAATAATTGTTATTGTTGTCTCTCAGCATTTCCACTATTAATAATAAAATTTTGAGTTTAATTAAATTATTTCAGTATAGACGCTAATGCCATCTTACGGTGGGATTTCGACATACAATCAGTGGGACTGATTGTATGTCGAAATCCCCTATCTAATTGTAAGATCCCTGGGGCTGACCGCGGTACATTGTAAATCTAGGGACTTTAATATCTGATGCTAACTATACTCTGTTTTTAAACCAGGAGGAGTATTTTAAATTTGTCACCAGATTGACCTTGCACGTGATTGGTTGAATGCGAGGAAGGTTGACACACAGGCAATTTTGAATTTGAAGGTTAGGTTATTGACAATTCGCAGTTACGTGTCATTATTCTAAATTTTGTGTTCTTAAACCCTTCTTTATTATATTTTGAAATATNTTGAATAACATGAGATGGCTATGAACCTATTTCGAAACATTTTGAACAATTTTGATACCTTATAGACCAATTTTGGACAATATTAGTGCAGTTTTCAGTCGTTGTGAGCAATCTGGACTTGCTATAAACTAGTCGTTATACATTTAGACAAGTTTTTAACGACTATCAACTAAGTGCTAGTGTAAAACTAGACCGAGAACTAGAAAATATAGGGCTTAGTCGTGCGTCTGTTTTCAAGGCTTATGAATAAGTTTACTTTTCGCAATTTGATTCGGCTCTTCTCGTGTTATTCGAATTTTTCTAGAAAAATCTGCTCCAGCAGACATTTGTTCAAGAAGATGTGTGCCTTTCTCAAAAAACCCTAATTATCTCCCAAACTATTAATGTTAGGTATGGGACTTATGGGATATAAAAGATGTGGAATGAGACACCGAAGACGACTAAGTAATAAAATATAGGGGGTGTCAATTAAAAAAATGAAGTTATGGCACACAAATCCAAATATGTAAAAATATACAGGTGTTTTATTTAAAAAAATAATGTAAGTGGCGATTTCCGGTACAACCGGAAGTGCTAGAAATTTGAAGATGTTTTAGTCGAAGAGAACACAGTTGATAATACTTAAGTCTGAATTCTCAAATTTTTATTTTGACCAGAACCCCAGAAACGTCTAATGACAGCTTTCGCTGAGACACCTCTATAATGAGGGCTATCATTCGCTAAGGTTAAGTTTATGTCACAAGCGTAGCGAGTAGAACAATTTGTACATTTAACCTGAATGATAATACCTCATTATATGTGAGTAGAATACTATACTTTGTCCACAACTACTATTAAAATTGATTCCATAAATTTATTTTTTAAATAAATTTTAAACGTCATTGTGACACATATTCAATGTTACCAACTGTAACCAACTTCACAACAATTTGTCAAAATTAAATGTCAATTTCATAAAACGTCATGTTTTTTTTACGAAAATTAATTTATGCTTAAATCATACGAAAAAAGGAATTTGTTTACGTTTTTTTAATGTCAAACCTTTAGAAAATTTAAAAAAATTAAATTAAATTAACGTTTTTTGAAATTTTGACGTTTCAAACAATAATTATTAGTCTATCAAAGGTAATAACTACCTTTTAGTTTTAAAAAACTCATTTATAAAGTAGTTGTGGACAAACATAATTATTGCATCATTTTACAAGATTATTTTAATAAAAAAATATTACCGCTCCATGGCATGTAGACCCAAAAGTTTCCAACATTCCTTGTTGAGTACCAGTAAGTACATAACTACAAGTCCCCATAGTTCCTCCAATAAGTACAGGTTGTCCGGTTAATTGATAATCAACGGGAATTAATGGATGATGAGGTGGAAAAGCCCTAGTTGACCCTTTTCGATGCACCAAAAGCGTTTTTCGCTTCCCATCAACGATATGTTCCTCCATTTTAGCAATATTATGTGAAACATCGTAGATTACATGCATATCTAAATCATCCGGGGTTGTATTAAATTGTTTAGCAAACGCTTGTCGTGTTAAAAACGTCATTGAACTTCGATTAACCCAAGCGAAATTAGCAGCTGCAGCCATCGCTTTTAAATAATCTTGTCCTTCAGTTGAATTAATTCTAGCACAAGCTAATTGCCTATCATTCGTTTCTATATTATCTCTTTTCATGGCTTTTTCCATTTGAACTAAAGCATCGGTCGCGACTTGATGACCAAAACCACGACTACCCGAATGAATCATTACACAAATTTGACCCTTTTCTTCTATTCCCATTTTACAAGCGGCCCATTTATCATAAATTTCATCCACAACTTGTATTTCTGCATAATGATTTCCAGCGCCCAAGGTGCCAAGTTGAGGTAAACCTCGTTTTTTCGCTCTTAAACTTACTTTTGAAGGATCAGCGTTGAGCATCCTTCCATATTCTTCACAATGTTCTTTATCTTCAGCCCAAACATAACCTTCTCTTAATGACCAATCCATTCCCATTTCTAAAGCTTCTTCTAAATCTTTTGCATTCATAGGAATTATTCCTAAAAATAAAAGTTGTGAATACTTTTGAAATTTGTTATTTTTATTTTACCTTTTGAACCAACACCAACTGGAATATGATCGAATAAACTTTGAGCTAAGTGTTCTTTTAGTGGTAATACATCATCTTCAAATAAATTAGTTCTTAATAAACGAACACCACAATTAATATCAAAACCTACACCACCTAAATTAAGTAATATAATTATTAAGAATATTATTGAGGGGAGTGTAATTAATATACCTGGTGATACAACCGAATTTGGATCATCCATATCAAACGCTGCCATATTTCCAATGGCAAATCCATAACCTGAATGAATATCTGGTAAACCAACAGATTTTCCAACAATACCAGGCAACGCCGCTACATTTGCAATTTGTTTAACACCTGGTAAAAATCCACCAACCATTCCCGGCCTACACGCATTCCGTAATTCATCAAGCATAAGCTTTTCTAGGGTTTTATTTACGTAAAAAACTCCTTCGACGTTCATATTCGGCTGAAACCCTTTTTTAATTCTCCAACAATTCGGATTAATTTTCTCCAAGTATTTTAATTCCTCTTCATATTTCCGGACGACCATTTTCGCTTATATATTAAACGATTATCACAGGATTACTCAGTTATAAATTATATTAACCACCAAGAACGATTAAAAACGAATTAACCGGCTTTTAGGTTAGGTTCAACTGTCAATGTCAAAAGTTGTAATTATTTATAAATCTGATAAATTTAAAAAATGATAAAAAAAGGATTTTAATTAAATTAATTATGCATTTAAGCTGTTTATAAACAAAGAAAGTTCTTTTGATGTAAAATTTGTAAAATAAAGTGTTAATTTTATATAAGCTAACTTCACGTTTATTTATGAATCATAAACATAACCTAAAATGGCTCAAGGAGGTGTTAATAATTTAAAACAATTAAATTCGTTAAGTAAACAATTAGAAAAGGGTATTGATGTTACTCAGAAACAAATTAGTGAATGTTCTGTGGAATGGTTGCAGTTGTGTAGCTTAGTTGAAAAGGAAAATGCAAAAATTGTAGGTTATGACAAAAATGATGAAACTACGGAGGTGGTGTTAAATCAAGAACAAACTTTGAAAAGTGATGCTCAAGATAAAATTAACAGTCAATCAATTAACTTGGATTTTGAATTAAATATTCAAGGGGAAGAATGTATTGAGGAATTTGATAGTGATTAAAGGATAATTTGTTGAAAAAGAAATTGTTTTAGTTGTTGTAAATTTTTAATTAATCTTTAATAAAGTTTTACACACATAATTCTCAACCACATTTTAGTTTGGCATCATTCTTAATATTAAGAAAAAAATAAAGAAAATAAAACCATTAACAATTAATAAAAGTATGTTGTAACTACTTGCTATGTAACAAGTGCCAAATCGATCTAAGAAATTCTATAGATACATTCACAACTTTGAGTAAAAAAAAAAATTAAAAGAAATATACCCATACCCCTGTATTTCACATGATTATTTAAAAAATGTTTAAAGCAACGAAAGCAGGAAGAGTACAAATAAGTTTTGTTTGTAGCGAATATCGATTTATATTTGCGAAAGAGTGGAAGTAAAAGAAATTGCACTCTTCCATCCAAGTAGTGCAATCATTAATTAATTAGTTAATTAATTAAATATTATTGAATTTCAACCGAATAATTTATCAAAGCAATTGTGACAATACGGTTTATCATTTTGCTCCTTAAAGGTGCCTTTATTTAATTGTTTGAGGCAAAATGCGCAAACGAAATGCTCTGGATGGAATTTTTTAAACATTGCTGTTATGCAGCGACCAGTTATAGGTTTATGGCATCCCGCGCATAACGATCCTCTCTTTGAGTGGTAATGTGTTTCGCAATACGGGTGTCCTTCATGATCAAAAAATGATCCGCCAACAAATGGTTGTCTGCAATCCTAAAAAACATTTAAAAAGTTGGTATTAAAATAATATAATTAAATAAAATAATTTGGGATCAGAAGAAAAGGATTATAAATCTTTGATAAGATGATTTAAAGTAACTTACCTCTATACTAAGTTGTACACCTAAGGAGTTATAGGCCTTCAAAGTTGGGTCTTAAATTTTTAAAAAGTTCTTCCTAATAAATTAAGCTAGAAAAACCAAATATACGTTATGAGTGTACCAAGGGTACTAATTGGTAGCAAATTGAACTCAATTGAGGCATTTCAAAAGGTTGATTAATTAAATTTTGACATAAAACCTTGTTGTCAAATAATTTTATAACCTATTTGTCAAATTTGACGTACAATTTCATAGCCGACTACTAAATTTTCGCTTATTTTAAGTAACATTACGAAATAGTTATTTAAGTTTTTTATGAAAACGACAGAGTTTTTAAATAAATAATAAGAGTAAAAAAAGTTTTAGAATTAAATTCCATATGAAATGAGGTAATAATGTATTAAATCAACCAAAAGGTTAAAAAAATCTGTCAAAATTTAGGGGACCATCACCCTTAATCAACCCTTCGAAATGCCTCAATTGGTCTCAACTTGCTACCAATTAATACCCTCGGTACACTCATAACGTATACCAAATTTGGTTTTTCTAGCTTAATGTATTACGAAGATATTCAATGTTTTAAAAATTTAAGACCCAACTTAACTTACTGAATGAGTGCTTTAAGTCTTATGAAGCGTGTTTTTATGCTATTTTTTGTAATTCGCGTTTTTATCCTTTTTTTTCTCAAAAATAAAATAAATTTTGACAATGTAGGGAAATAGGTATGTAGCAGTTGGTGACACTTGAAAATAGAAATTTGAATTGACAATTAGAAACTGTCAAAATACAAAATGTATTCCCTGACAACAATGTTTCATGTACACCTCCCAAAATAAGAGAAATTGCTCAGAGTTCAATGTCCTCATCATTGTGGACCTTGTATTCGATGCTAAGAACGTGTTTAAACATCCATAGACAAAAATTATCACATTGACGACTAGAAAAATTAATAACCCAATGTCACCAACTTGAACTGGTTCCATAAAATGTTACTAAAATCTCATTACAGCATCCGATGCTGTAATGAGATTTAGCACCCGTTTGAGTACTGTTAGAGCTGTCATTACCAGAGCCACGACGTTTCGGGCTGTTGATGACACCATCTGTATAGAGCAGCGAACGGGTTATAGCGTAGTAGCATGCTTCTATCGAGCACATCGTTGTGCCGCAACGTATCGATACTGGTTGAATGCTGGCCCATGTCAAATTTGGGGGGTTCTCTGCGGTGCAGCGTTCAATACGTGTTTGGCCGATTGTCTGACTAAAACTCAACTAGTGGCGTGATATATTATATGTGGCATGATGTGGTCCATGTGGCCCCAGTCTCTACCGTAAGGCGACGAGCCGCCAATGAGTTGCCCGACAACGTCGCGGCTCTGGTCATTACCGTCGCGAATTACAAAAAATTATTTATTGTCCTCTACATGTCCCTGCTCTGTGTCGGTTCTTATGTGAATCACCCTGTATATACAGCAAGTTTCATATAACTCGCAATATATGAAAAGCATTAACCATAGTTACGAAACTACTATGCACTTGCACTATCCCACATAATATGCAACATAGCTTAAACAGGCATTAGGTAGTTTCGCAAAGGAAAAGTTTTGCTTGGACAAAGATAACCTCCTTATGATAACTCTGAGTTTTCGGGCGTTTTAACAGATACACAGCTAGACGGAATGTTTCCAAGTCTAGTGTTAGTTCTAGTGATAGCGCTAGTGCAAAACTGGAATACTGGAACGAACCCTAGAACTAGAAACATTCGGATTTAGCCGCACGTCTCTCAAGACGGCTAAACCCGAATGATTCTAGTTCTAGGTCTTGTGTTAGTTCTAGTGATAATGCTAGTGTAAAACTAGAACTAACACTAGACGTAGAACTAGAAACATTCGGATTTAGCCGCACGTTTCTCAAGACGGCNAAAAATGTTCGATGTACACCTCCCAAAATAAGAGAAATTGCTCAGAGTTCAATGTCCTCATCATTGTGGACCTTGTATTCGATGCTAAGAACGTGTTTAAACATCCATAGACAAAAATTATCACATTGACGACTAGAAAAATTAATAACCCAATGTCACCAACTTGAACTGGTTCCATAAAATGTTACTAAAATCTCATTACAGCATCCGATGCTGTAATGAGATTTAGCACCCGTTTGAGTACTGTTAGAGCTGTCATTACCAGAGCCACGACGTTTCGGGCTGTTGATGACACCATCTGTATAGAGCAGCGAACGGGTTATAGCGTAGTAGCATGCTTCTATCGAGCACATCGTTGTGCCGCAACGTATCGATACTGGTTGAATGCTGGCCCATGTCAAATTTGGGGGGTTCTCTGCGGTGCAGCGTTCAATACGTGTTTGGCCGATTGTCTGACTAAAACTCAACTAGTGGCGTGATATATTATATGTGGCATGATGTGGTCCATGTGGCCCCAGTCTCTACCGTAAGGCGACGAGCCGCCAATGAGTTGCCCGACAACGTCGCGGCTCTGGTCATTACCGTCGCGAATTACAAAAAATTATTTATTGTCCTCTACATGTCCCTGCTCTGTGTCGGTTCTTATGTGAATCACCCTGTATATACAGCAAGTTTCATATAACTCGCAATATATGAAAAGCATTAACCATAGTTACGAAACTACTATGCACTTGCACTATCCCACATAATATGCAACATAGCTTAAACAGGCATTAGGTAGTTTCGCAAAGGAAAAGTTTTGCTTGGACAAAGATAACCTCCTTATGATAACTCTGAGTTTTCGGGCGTTTTAACAGATACACAGCTAGACGGAATGTTTCCAAGTCTAGTGTTAGTTCTAGTGATAGCGCTAGTGCAAAACTGGAATACTGGAACGAACCCTAGAACTAGAAACATTCGGATTTAGCCGCACGTCTCTCAAGACGGCTAAACCCGAATGATTCTAGTTCTAGGTCTTGTGTTAGTTCTAGTGATAATGCTAGTGTAAAACTAGAACTAACACTAGACGTAGAACTAGAAACATTCGGATTTAGCCGCACGTCTCTCAAGACGGCTAAACTCGAATGCTTCTAGTTCTAGGTCTTGTGTTAGTTCTAGTGATAGTGCTAGTGTAAAACTAGAATTAACACTACACCTAGAACTAGAAACATTCGGATTTAGCCGCACGTCTCTCAAGACGGCTAAATTCGAATGATTCTAGTTATAGGTCTTGTGTTAGTTCTAGTGATAATGCTAGTGTAAAACTAGAACTAACACTAGACCTAGAACTACATATATTTCTAGCTCTAGGTCTAGTGTTAGTTCTAGTTTTAGTGCAATAAAAATATGGAATATAGTGATATATTATGCCAACTAGCGCTACCTACTACTGTCACTAGAAGTAAAATTAGACCCAGAAGTAGAAACATTCAGGTTTAGCCGTCTTAAGAGACGCACAGCTAAACGGAATATTTTTATTGATCTATATTTTTATTGATCTATAACGGACACTGCGTTCCCAGTATTTATCCGTTATATCGAGGTTTTACTGTAATGTCAAATTATATTGACATGTTGCATTTTATGTGGGAAATATATTTTTGTATATTGCATCTTTAGTGAAATTTACTATATATTGTAATTTAGTCTTCTCCTTTAATTAGTTTCTATTTAATCTCTTAGTTGACTCATTCCATAATGATTCCATATTTAGTTTTTTCGTGGTCGTTCGTTGTGGGTTTTTTCTAGGTATTATTTTGATCCTAAATTTATATCTGCCGAATTAAATGTTCTAACATCTGTTATTTGTGTTAGGTGTATATTTCTGTGGGTGACTACGAAATCTATCATAGATTTTTGGCGCCCGGTACTACTTCATTCCCAATACGTGCGTTTAACGCCTAAAAGTAACTCTTAATAGCTCTTCTTGGGGTAGTGAATTTACTGCAATCAGTAGCATGACTCTGGTTTGCCAGATAAAGGTGTCCGAGTTCCACAGGTGACGATCCTCAATCAATCTTGATATGTCTCTGACACCAAAGATGTATGGGTTAAGGATCTGCCCTTGCCAGCTTTATTTCAGTGCCTTCGCATGGCTTTCTTGGAGAATGTTAGTAAGCATGGTATTCTCTTTCAAATTAAATAAAAATAATAACAAGAATTCAAAGATAAATTCAAAAAATGATCATGTTTATCATAAAGCTTCAATTATAAAAATAAATACATATTTTGTCGTCAAAAATACATTTTATCACATCGTTAATGTTAAATTTAGTTCAAAGAATCTATTTTTATTTTTGTATTTCGTTCAATTTTTACCTTTTTTTCTTATAAATATTATTAATTATTTTTTTATATAAAATGTTTATTGTAACGAGCATAAAAAAGATGAAAATACTAGAAATGAATGTAAAAAAAGCGGGAGAAAGACGAGTTGAGGCAGGTGACAATTTAAAAGTGGTGGAAATTACGATCCACTTAATAATAAAATTTCGGCAGCGTGCGCATTCTATTTATAACACGACGATGAAGTAAAAATAGAAACAAAATAGGCGGTTTCTATTATGGTACCCTGGCGAAAAGTTAAAAAACGAAATTCCAAGGTAATACTTATACAATAACAAATTGCACATACATACACGGCATTAAATGTTATTAATGCACGTGTGTGTTTTATTGTTTTCATTTATTTTAATCTTTTTTTGCTCGTTTTTATTTTATTTTATTTTTTTTTTTTGATACTTTAAATCTCATTTATTTTAATTATATACATAATTATAGTACAAACTCTTTGATTATTTAATAATCTACACAATTTATATTATAAGAAAAAAATTTAAAAATTCTTGGATTCCTTCTTTGGTTCATGTTATTATTTTTATTTATTTTTTTTTTAATTTTTTTGGGGGATATTTTATTTTTGCAATTAAGAAGAAAATTAAAAGACTATAATGTGTGTTTCTCTGTGTGTATGTAAATAGTGTTTAGGTGTCATGTGTTAATCGAAAAAAAAATTAATCCTCTTCCTCCTCTTCATCCTCAGCTCCAATACATTTCGGGCAAACTGGTTTTCCTTCGACAGCATAAAAACTTTTTCCTTGAACCGGTAACTTGCAATCCTAAATTTTTTTATTTTAATTTGATTCAATCAAAGATTTATTTTGATGGGAAAAACAAGGATTAAAGGAGAATTTAGGTGTTAATTACCCTGCAAACAAAACAATCTGGATGCCATTGCGCGTTAAGCGCGGAAATATAATTTTCCATAATAGCACGATTGCAAGATCCGCATTTCGGGGCGAACATGTCAAAGTAATCGTCCCTGCAATAAGGTTTCCCTTCGCGTTCGTGAAAACCTTCTTCGCCAAATTGTTTACCACATTGGGCGCAAAAGAAATGTTCCATATGCCAGGTTTTTTCTAATGCCGTTACACATTTCTACCCAAAAAAAAAGAAAATATTAATCACAAATTATTTAAAATCCTTTCCAAGATTTACATCCAAAATTGGGCCGTTGCAATAAGCACATCTTGGGCTAAAAAGGTTATGATAATCTGGTTCGCAATAAGGTTTTCCATCTCGTTCAAAGAAATTTCTCGTTCCTAATTCTTGAGAACAATGGGCACATGTAAAATGTTCTGGATGCCATGTTTTCCCCAGCGCAGTAATAACTTGTCCAACAATTGGTTTTTCGCAAGCGTTGCAACAACCTTTTTGACTTGTATTAACTCCTTGACGACTCATGTCTGCTTGAAGATTACCAAGCATAGAATCCAAATTTTGTTTAGGTGGAGCTGTGCTCTGTTGAGTTGCTTTAATAGGCCGTGCGTATTCCTGTTGATCTGTAACCGTTTGGTGTTGAGGACTACCTGGAGATACCTGCGAATCAAATTAAAAAAAAAACATTTCGGTTAAATAATTTAATAATTTTGAGATGGTACCAAAAGGTGTTGAGTGTTGATCTTTACCGGGTGATGCCTCGGTTAAAACTACTCCTGGGTAACCTATTTCGCCGCAAAGTAGACTGATGCCCCCACCAGTTGTGCGGGACATTTTTGAATTTTCTTAAAGCGTGCCCCAAATATTCCGTCTTTCTCGCGATGCCGAAAATCAGCGAGAACGCACGTCGTACTCAACGTGTAATTTCTATTTGTGGCGTCGTGGCCAAAAAAACGATTATATCACGGGGCCCCGCGACCATACGCGCCCAGTGGAATTGTACAAGTGTACGAAAATCCACAAATCATTCCGTTTTATTTCCAAATTTATTTTGAAAAATAAAATCATTTTATTACTTCATCGATAATTTTTTTTAATCCATACGATTTATTTAAACACTTTTAAATAATCGTACTATTTATTATTTTAACATTTGGCTCGATTTTAAACCAATTAAAAATCTATTTTTAATATATTTTTTTTAATATTTTGCGATCTAACCAAAAACATAAATCACTTTCGATTTCAAAATTGGAATAGAACTCGAAATGAAAAAGTTAACTTTCATAATGGTTCTCTACAATGAGAACGGTTTCTTGCAACTCTCTCTTATCATCGACAACCCGGCACAGGTGTTAAAAGAAAACAACACCCAGAAAAGATAGCTTCGTTATGATTTCTGCATTGACAGATCGAAAGTAGTCAAAGCAGCCTTCGGTAAGGTCTTGGAACAGCAGATGGGTCGTTCTCAGAAGGGCTAAAAAAGTGTCCCTCTAATATCAAATCTTATATACTGAGATAAGTACATTCATTCGAGCAAAAAGCTATATGGTGAGAC